TTTATCTCAATAAGAGGTACTCCCTCAAAGTCGGAAGCATGACCTACCTTTTCTTTACTTAGATGAGGTCTACTTGTCTTCTCTTCACCTCGACTAGTTTTCTAGGCTTTTGTCCCTCCACCATAGCACTTTTTCTTCCAAAGGAGGAGCCTCTAAAGTTATAAGTTGTCCATATGTTAAGCTTTAGAAGTATATGGACTTAGCTATTATTTATGTGAGCTGAAGTAACATATAAGAGAGCAATGAAATTGTAGAATATGATTCAAATAGCACCCCTGACCTTTATTTTTAGGCAATGATAATACAAAGACTATATCAATATTATTATGAGAACTCATATCAAACACACTTTTGATAAGTGTTAAAAATGGTGTTTTAATTTTTTTTACTTAATTTTTATCAATCAGTGAGAAAAATAAATAATTTCCTTATATAATTTATTTATCAATGCAATTCACCTTAATTTGTTGGTTGGAAGCTTTGCCTACCAATCTGGAGGTCTTGAATTTGATTCTTATGTATGTGATGTGTATGTGAGTTTTCCTTGATTGGCCTAGATGTCCTAAAAAATATATTTATCCTTTTTTTTAAGTCTCTTTCAAAAGGAGTAAGAGAATAGGGGAACCAAATCTACACCTCAATATGCAGGCACATGCAACTCACATGAATCAACCAAGTTCATCTCAATGAAGCTTAACCAAGAGCTGCATTCATCTAAGATGTGAACTACACAAAGGACTCACGCTCATCAATATCTAACAATGGAAGCAGACACCCTAGAGGAGCTTGACCATGGATACTTACACCTAAAATAAGTTTTACCAAGGAACTCTTCTTAATAGTCTGCAATCCAAGGTGTTACCTATCACATAAAAACTCGCCCAAAAGGAAGAATCGCCTCTCTTGAAGGGTTACTCATCCAAAATACAGAAGATGCACACCTAGCAATTTCATAGTTAATAGCCTCATTAGTCATGCTAGTCCATGCTTAAAAGAAGTCGCTCGGGGTACTCACCTGAAGCACTCACCCTAGCTCATGTCATATACATGGGGAACCCATCAATGACACTTGCCCAATAAGCATACATCAAGGTCATCCATCATAAGTACTCATTGAAGTAAACGACAAACACATTAGAGATTGTTGTTCATGTATCTATAATAGTTAGATCAGGTATTATTTATTATTTATCTAGCTATAATTTATGTGTATCTTTTCTATGCACATGAAAAGGAGGATGAATAATATTTTTTTGACCTTTATGGTATTTTTATTATTCACATGGATTAATGGATTCTAAAACTCTTCTCCTTACTCGCCCATTGTCCTTCTTGCCTTTCCATATCAGCTTAGCTAGATTTGTAAGTAGGATCAAAGTGTCACTCATGTATAGATCTAGAGTCAATAGTTTTGATCATGATATGCATAAAAACATAAGATTGTTAATTCATAATAATGAAATCAGTATTTTTTTTTGTTGATAGATAATTTTTTGTGTAATCAATCCCTGCCCAAAAAAAACTAAAACTACAATTTTTTTTGCAATGGCGCCCAGTATTTTATCATGAAAAGGAGAATCTCTATGGCTTTATCTTTTTTAACACCAACCATTATTTTTTTTGCAATTAAGGCATGCATGATTTACTTTTCTATTACAGACACTAAAGTCTCACACGCAAGCGACAAGCTAGCAATTTCCAAGTGATGGGGCCAAGTCTACTATTCATGCTGGTAAATGGTCATTATGCTATTGGATTTTCTTAGAAAATTGTTCATGTAGATCAAATTAGTTCATATAAAAGTTTTAGAACATAGGAAATATTTTTTAAAAAAATTGAATGAGTTAGGTGCATTCAAATCCTTAGCATATTTAATAAACCCTGATTTGAATATCTAGACTATAAACCTTTTGCTCTTAAGTAAATAATAGTCTTCTTATCCTACATATCATTTAGAATTAAACTCATAATTTTAAAGCATTTATGTGGTTTAGCTGGCAGTCCGCTCTAAGAAAATAAAAACCAAGTGTATGTTGGACCTCTTCCAAATTTCATTTAGAATTTAAAGGTAGAAGTCCTAATACACAAGCTCCTACACTATTTTAGACTAGGACCAAATCATTATTTTATAATAGCTCAACTTAGGTATAGAATTATAGGCATACTAAAATCTTGAATCCTCACCCTCCATAAATAGAATCTCGCCATTCTAAAAATTTGACCAAGTTAAATATATAATCTCATTCATTCCTAAAGAGTTAGAGCCTGATCGTAGAATAGGTCGGAGTACTTATGAGCTTCTCAAAATCATAGTACTCTCTACCTTTCATCCTATGATTCCAGAAAGAACTGGTCAATTTTGATTCAATCCCTATTGATAAATCCTTAATTTCATATCCTTGCCTGAATCATTAGATTAAAAAAATATTTAGTCACAACTTCAAAATTGAGTTTTCTCAAGAGCTTCTCTTGGGGTGTGATTAACCATAGAGGCTTGCCTTTATGGGTAACTTAAAGCACTAGTATAAAATAAACTCTATTTTAGTTTACTAAGATAGGGAACAAGTATTTAGAACCGTATATAAGTTTTCTAGAACTCATTTTTATTTTCAAATCAATATTTGAAAATTATTTTTTATTTTTTAGATAGTATGTTGTTCTCTTTTTTGCATTTGATTATGCAAATGATAATTTCATTTATGTTTTCAAATTGATTGTGAAATACTATTTTTGTCATTTGAGATAGTATGTTATTCTCTATATAGATTAGAATCTAGAATTAAAAAATTTTAAATTTTATGGTAGTTTATTTTCACTCAAATTATTTATAGGGGGTCCATATAAAACTTTCAATATTATTAATAAAAATCAATTTAATCTGATTAACTTGTATAAAATATTGGGTCAAACTATGACAAATTGACTATATGGTTAAGTTGAGCTCAGTCAAGGATTAATTGTGCATAATACATCTATTATCAATCAATTAAAATGATTCTAGGAGTTGGTTAATCTCAATTTGGCTAAATCATTTAAACTAGCAATTAGATTTATGGGTCAAATAGGATCAGTATGGCTGAGTTAACCAATTGCAATCTCAAAAAGGAAATTGGTGTCAAGTTACCAAAGATTAATATATTCTAGTTTTCCTAAATTAGTTGAAGAAAAATAATAAGGTCAATTTGATTGAATTGATGAGATTAGTTATATGATGACAGATGAAATGGCTTTGGGTTTTATGAGGTGGGTCAACGGATATTATTGGATCTCGCTAAAGGTTTTTTTTTTATTATAGGGTTGCTAATAATCCTTTTTATTTTATGTTTAAAGCAAGTTATACCTATCATGGTTGTTTAGAGTAAATCTAAGGCTTGACCTATTTCTATGTATAAATATGTTTATGTTATCAAGATTTAAGGGTATAAACATATGATGAGAAGAAATTTGGTTGAGTGATAGGATCATTTATTTGAAGATCATGTTATATTATCATATATACTGTTGTTTTGGTTAAGGGTCAAACCAATGCCTACAAACATAGGGAAATTCTTTTGATAAGAAGGGGGATGACATTTTGATCACTAATGCATCTATAGTGAACAATCAAAATTAAACATTAGAGAGGCTTTCCCTTGATATGAGGCAGGCTATTTGGTTATTGGTTTCCTCCTATAATAAGTTATAGTTCAGGGGAAATCTTATAGACATTTGAGGGTCTTTTTTTAATATAACCAAGTACAAGATCAAGAATATAATTTTTAGCTTATTGAGCTAAGAAACGATCCTACAAAATGATCTAGGACTATTGGAATACAAGTTATAAAAGAATAATATTTGGAAACATCTAAAAGTAAGTAATCCGAACAAGGGAGTTGTATATTGAAGCTTTTAGACCAATACTGCATAAATTGTTTTGTGCCAAAATGGGCTACAAATGTGACCATCTCATGCATTAAGTCAACACCTTTTGATGTTGAATCAAACATCTTTGAACTTGAATTGAACACCACATAGATTGGGCCAACTTCTTTACTGCAAATTTCTTTAATATTTATCTCAATAAGATGTACTCCCTCAAAGTCGGAAGCATGAGCTACCTTTCTTTACTCATGTGAGGTCTACTAGTCTCCTCTTCACCTTGACTAGTTATCTAGGCTTTTGTCCCTCCACCTTAGCACTTTTTTTCTTCCAAAGGAGGACCCTCTAAAATTTTTAGTTGTCCACACGTCAAGCTTTAGAAGTATATAGACTTAGCTATTTTTTATGTGAGCTAAAGTAACATATAAGAGAGCAATGAAATTGTAGAATATGATTCAAATAGCACCGCTGTCCTTTATTTTTAGGTAATAATAACACAATGATTTGATCAATATTATTATGGGAATCTCATATCAAACACACTTTTGAGATGAGTTAAAAATGTAGTTTTTTTTTACTTGATTTTTATCAATCAGTAAGAATAATAAATAATTTATTTATCCACACAACTCATCTTGTTCTGTTGGTTGAAAGCTTTGGCTACCAATCAATAGATCTTGGATTCGAGTCTTGTCTATATGATGTATGTGTGAATTTTCCTTAATTGGCCTAAATGTCCTAAAATATATATTTTTCCCATGGCATGTTCTTGGGGAACCCACCAATGACACTTGCCCAATAAGCATACATCAAGGCCATCCATCACAATTACTCATTGAAGGAAACCACAAACACATTAGAGATTGTTGTTCATATGTCGAGAATAGTTACATCATGCATTATTTATAATTGCACTTGGAATAATATTTGTGTAGCTTTTCTATCCCCATGAATAAGAGGTTAAAAGATATTTTTCTAACCCTTAAAGATATTTTTATTATTCACATAGATTATTGGATTCTAAAACTCTTCTCCTTACTTGTCCATTGCCCTTCTTACCTTGCCATGTTGGCTTAGCTATATATAAAACTACATAAAATTTCAAAGCGCCATTACCTTATATTAATGTTTTAATCATTCAACTTAGTCGCCCTTGAGAAAGAATCCACCATCAATGAATAAGCTGTTTCTTCATGTCACAAATTCCTGATCAGTCTGATGCGGCCTTCCTGTTTTTACGTTCGAGACAAAATGTTGGACGAACTTCGGCAACCCCAATTTCCTCTCCTCCATCCATCCCAGAGAGCCGAGCCTTTGATCTTTCAAATACTAACTTCTTAATAAGTCTATGACACATATTTCTTCTCACATAAAGGAAAAAGTCTTCCTTACAGATATATAGCAAGGAAGCTTGGGTTGGAGGTGAGGAAGAGGAAATAGCAGGCGAGGGCGAATAGTTAGAATGGGGGAAGAGGAAGCGAAGAATGTGTTCGGTGGGTTCACTACGGAGGCAGCCCCTTCGGAGCCGGCCCAGGCAGATTCTACAATGGACGTGCCGGAGGAGAAATCGGTGATTCCTCCATCTCCAGACGAGAAGCCTGACGAGGCCAAAGCACTGGCCGTCGTTGAGAGTATGAACTCTATTAACTACTACTTTTCTGTTCCCCTTTCCTGTTTCGATGTGCCCTCTTTTAGTTCTAAGTGGGCTAAGGGTTCCGTTGTTGCAGGAAGTAGCTAATGATATAGAGATGGAAGCCTATACTTTTTAGAGATTAAAGATTTGATTTTTGTTCCTTATTCTTTTGTTAGTAATGGAGAAAAAGGTGAAAAGGTTGGAGTATGCTCATGTGGATGAGTGGCTTTACCCTTAGAGATAGGATAAGAAATGAGCAAATACATGAAAAAGTTGTAGTAGCTCCAGTAGAAGATAAGATTAGAGAGAGTTGCCTTAGATGATTTGGTCACATAAAAACGTCGGCCTTTCGATGACCCAGTTGGGAGAGTAGAGATATTAGATTTGACTTATGTTAAGAAAGATAGAGGCAGATCTAAAAAAACATGGATATAAAATATTAGGAATGACCTTTCTTTACTAGATTTAAACGAGCATTTAACTTTTAATAGGACACAATGGAGAAAAGGATTTAAGTAGCCGACCCCACGTAGTGGGATAAAAGCTTGATGTTGTTGTTGTTGTTGTAATCTTTTGTTAGTAATGTTACCAACATCTTCATAGCTATCAACTTTAAAGTCCAACCTTTTAAAATTATCCATTTATCCAATTTTTTAGTTATCATATAATTATAAGCTTATTATGAAACTCGGATGTTTGGATTCTTTCACCAATTCTGTCTAAGGCGTTTTAAGAACGTTTAATGATCTTCTTAGCAAGCGAGTAAATCATAATAGTTTGCTCTTGTTTCTGTCCACAGTGCTCGCAGCTCCCCCATCAACTGAGAGAAGCTCTGGTGGTTCAACAGATAGATGCAAGTTTGAAAATTTTTAATTATATAGCTATTGGACAGTGCATATGATTTCCTTAGTATCATCACAGGCAGATCTAATTAAAAATAATCTACTTGTACCTTTAGATGCTATTCTTGCACGGGTTGAAACTGAGAAAAGACTATCGATTATCAAGGCTTGGGAAGATAGTGAGAAGGTCAAAGCTGAGAATAAGTAAGTTTCTTGTATCAAAGAGTTATTTAACTTGTTCTTTTTAAATGACTCAAGAATAGTTAGAGTATATTCATTTTAAGCTTTGAGTTTTTTTTTATTCTCAAATTTTGATTCCACAGAGTTGAGAGATCAAAAGAGTCATATTAACATATTTAAGGATCAAAAGAGTGAAATTTTGATAAGTTTAGGAATTAAATCTGAGAATAAGAAAAGTTGAGGTCAAAATAAACAAACATGCTAAACTCCCATTATAAACTTTTCAACTATTTTAAACAGAGCGGTTAAGAAGATGCATTCTATCACTGCATGGGAGAACACGAAGAAGGCAACAGTAGAAGCTGAACTGAGAAAGATAGAGGTATCGTTTCTTGCTTGGCTCGTTTTAATGCATGATGAGATTATTTAACTGTGGCTAAGCTACTAAATTTTTAACAAAATTATTCCTTTTTATGGAGCAACAGATTAGAAAAGACATGCTTAGCTTAACTCAGACTTAAAAAATGACTCAAAATTGCATTTTAAAGGAAAAAAGAAAAATCTTTTTGCTAACTTAAGCTGGTAAATAAGCCTGAACCCAACAACCATTATGATTGAGGATTTTAAGCTTACATAACTTTCTACAACAGAACAACTGGTTTGTTTTTTTTTTCTTTTTTCTTTTTTTTTTTCTTTTTTAAAACAGAACAACTGGTTTGTATTTCTTAAAAAGGTCAACAATTTGGAGTATAATTGCAGCTTTTGGAAAATAATATTTCAGAAGCTTCACAATTTTTATCGTTATTCTTTTAGAGATTGATTCATCTTTCAACAACAACAACAACATCAAGCCTGTGTCCCACAACATGGGGTCTACTACATGAATCCTTTTTCTCAATTGTGTTTTGTTAAAAATTAAATTCTCGTTTAAATCTAATAAAGAAAGATCATTCCTAATATTTTATAACAAAGTCTTTTTAAATCTCCCTCTACCTTTCTTAACATAAGTCAAATCTAATAGCTCAGCTTTCCTAATCGGGTCATCGGAAGGCCTCCATTTAATGTGACCAAACCATCTTAGGCGACTCTCTATAATCTTATCTTTCACTGAAGCTACTCCAACCTTTTCACGTATATGCTCATTTCGTATCCTATCTCTAAGGGTAAAACCACTTATCCACCTGAGCATCCTCATCTCTGCAACACTTAACTTAATATTATGCATGAAAATATTTTGATTGATTCATCCTCATCCTAAAGAGATTGATTCATCTTTAGGATTAATCAATTCATTCCACCTTTACCTTTGCTCTTGCACATTGTGATTAATTTACCCATGCGAGTATCCGCCCAGTTATTCTTCATGAGATGAGCTGACATAAAATTTGATAACCGAGCAGGAAGAACTGGGAAGGAAGAAAGCAGAATACGCAGAAAAAATGAAGAACAAGATTGCTATGATTCGCAAGGAAGCGGAGGAGAAGAGAGCTATAGCGGAGGCCGGGCGTGTTGAAGGTATTCTGAAGGCAGAAGAGATGGCTGCAAAATATCGTGAAACAGGAGTTTCTCCCAAGAAATTATTGGGATTGTTTTGAGTAATGAGATCATTTCTTTTTCTGTGATTCAGTTTTTTTTTTTTTTTTTTACAAAGTCAGTGAAATTGTGGTGCTTGTGGTTGCTTACACGTATATTTTGAAGAATAAACATTGTTTTCTATTTATTATTTTGTGAACATTCATTCTTGTTTTTTCAATAGCACTGACAAATTTGTCAACTGGCTATAATTTAGGAGCTTTTATTCTGTACGGAGACCGGAAGCATCGGATACTTAATAGTACCGAGTGTGGGTACTGAACTAGGTACCCACCAATAAGATGACGTGACGTGCTTTTATTGATCTCCGGATGCCCTTCGCACTCCGCACAGAATAATTCATCCTAATTTAGGTTTCGTTCGGGATAGCATTTTTAATGCTTTTTAAAATAAAATAACTTTTTAAATTAAAAATTTTCTTCAATTAGATATTTTTATATTAAAAAACAATTTTAAAATAGCAATGAAAAAACTGTCACAAACAAAACCTAACTCATTGTCAAAAATTCTGAAACTTAATTTAAAAAAAGCTATCAGTAGAGGGAACTTTTATTACATCCGGTGCAAGGACGTAGAGGAACGTCCGGTCGGAGGGAATTTCCCGTCAAAAAATTAGGTATTTGCTCAGTATTAGGTATTATTTGATAATAATGAGGAATACCGTTCTCTGAAGACCAATACCGAGTTATACCGAGCTGTATCGAGAAATACCGAGTTGTACCGAGTTTTTTCTGGGAAAAACTCGGTACAACTTTGGCATAACTCGGTATTTGCTCGGTAAAGCCCGATATAACTCGGTATTGGGTCTTCAAATGATGGTATTCTTCATTATTGTTTGGTATTGCTCAGTACAACTCATTTTTTGGCGAGAATTTGCCTCCGACCGGACTTTCCTCTACGTCCGGTCGGAGGACGTAATAATTGTCTGCTGGGCACTGTAGTGTATGCCACATTTAAAATAGAGAGGCTGGTGAATCTCTCTAGTGAATTGGTATTTCTTTTTTAGAAAAATAAATTGATTTTGTGGATGTATAAATATTTCAATTATGAATTTTGTAAAACAAAGTACTAAGCTTTTTTTTTATTTGAGAACAAATGAAAAAAAAAAATCTTTTTCAAAATAAGCTTCAAAAAGTAATAATAATTTTTATTTACAAAAAGGAATAAAATTCTTTATTAAGCAATATTGTTATTTCAAGATATTTTCAACTTTTAAAAGCTTTCGCGTAATAATCATCATAATAGACATCATAATAGTCCAAATCAATATGTTGAGAGATTAAAGCAATAGTGCAAGAAAAAAATACAAAAAATAAAAAATAAAAAGAAAAAAACCACAAATCAATTTATAGTGGCTTGGCCTACGGCCTACATTCACTCACTAAATCTTCAATCGAGGGCAAATTATTATATGCGCACACTGGAGGCAAACTTGCATCCGAATTATTGCGCTTTTATTGTGATTTTATTATGCTTTCGATGTATTTTTATAAAAGGGCAGCTAATACATAATTTTAATTGCATATTAGCTGTCCTTTTGCTGCCCTTTTACTGAGTATTTAAAAAGCGCAGCAAAAGGGCAGCAAATACTCAATGAGTAAGATATTTGTTGCGCTTTCGCTGCCTTTTTGCAAGTACTCAGCAAAAGTACATCTAATATGCAACTAAAATTGTGTATTAGCAGCCTTTTTATCAAAATACATCAAAAGCGCAGTAAAAGCGTAGCAATCCGGACGCAAGCTTGCGCCTAGTGTGCGCATAGAATAATTTGCCTAAATGGAAATCTCTCTCTTCTTATGGTTCTAGCAAGGTGTAGAAATCTCTCTCCTTCACATGTAATAAGGAAATCTTATACAATGTTTTTTTCTCGAAATGTATACCTACTCTGATGGCACAAATAGGAATTTTTATTGAGTCCTCCCACCTGACGTAGAGATACGTCCTCCCAGAGCTAAATTCGCGCTAAAAAATGAGAAATACCGAGCAAATACCAAGCAATTCCAAACAATAACGACGAATATCATCATGTGAAGACCAATACTGAGTTATACCGAGTTATACCGAGCTATACCGAGCAATACAAAAAAATACCTAATTTTTTCTAGAAAAACTCGGTATTTTTTTGTATTGCTCGGTATAACTCGATATTGGTCTTCACATTATGATATTCCTCGTTATTATCAAATAATACCTAGCAATACCGAGCAAAAACTGAGTTTTTTTGCGGTGGGAGGACGTATCTCTACGTCAGGTGCGAGGACGCAATAAAAATTCCACAAATAGATCCACAAAACACAAAAAAAAAAAAAAACTCTCCATGATCTATACAAATAAAGCTCAAGGAGTTCTCAACCTAGACCAGTGGACTCTATAATTAGAGAAATGAAAGGATATAATTTGCGAACAATCAATGGTGAAGCCTCACACAAGAATTTTTTCAAAATTTTCAAAGTTCAAAGGACAAAGAGAGATATTGTAGAGAACAATTTTTCTCATGAGTTTCTCAAACCTCTTGGGAGACACTTTTTTTCAAAAGTCTCCATAGAGTTTCTATTAATCCCTTTTACATGATAGCTTAATCAAAAACCTTAAAAAGTAAACTTGATGGCGAAATCTTTTGGTCTAATTCTGGGATCATAACATGCGATTAGCACAGTCAACCTGAAATTTTAAAAATCATCTATATTTGCATAGTATTATTGAACCATATACTAAAACACGTGAAAGAGGCAAAATTGGCGACTCAAGTGATGGTGGGCACGTGAGATGCATCACTAGAGTGGTCAAACGACCTTTCATCACCAAACGGACTGTGCCATTATAATAAGAGTGTTGAATTTACTTAAGAGGGAGTCTCTCGTGGTCAAATCGAGGAAAAATGGTCGAAATCGATAACTGAGACCCAAAAATGACGTGTGATGCTGCTCAAACAACGTCCAATCAAAAACAGAAATCGTCGTTGTACACGGAACATCGACAATACTCAAATGACTGTAATTTCACTCAACAAAATTTGTGTGGGAAAATCAACACTAAACCCAATGGAGCATGTAAATTGCGGCAAAATGATTTTTTTAATGTTATTATATGTAATAATAGTATTATTATTATTATTAAATAAAATATATACGTTCGTACCTGTTCAACACCCATGCCGACCGATGTCGACGCCGCTCATCCTCTTTGCACGATTCCTGCTCAGATCTCGCTCTTGCTCGTCATCTACTCATGTTATTAAAATAAGATATCGGAGCTCTCGATTGTTTTCTACTTCCTCATTCTTGAAAACTTCTATTATTCCACATTCATTTGAATCCATTCTCGCAACGCTCCCTTTTTGAACAAGGACTTATAACCCAATGGTTGGCCAATATGACCAAGCTCAACCAATTGGATTGACTCAAGAAGTTAGTCAATCAAATTGACCCGAACCTAATGGCATGGAACTAGATAATAGCCTTTTTAAGTCAACTAGTTGATGACCAAGTCATGGCCACTCGAGCTCAAATTGAGCTAATTTGACCTAAATCAATCTCAACCACTTGAGATTGACCCAAGAAGCTCCACTAGCCAAAATGGTCCAAACTCATGGTAATTAAGGCTTCGTTTGGGACGGCTTTCTTTTTTATTCTTAAAGCAGCTTTAGAGTACAAAAATTTTAATTTTTATACTAGAAAGCTGTTTTAAGAAGCGGTAAGAAAGCCATCTCAAACGAACCCTAAGTTAGCTAATAGCTTGACATAGGCTCTCTGTAGAGGATTGAGCAAAGCTATGGTCAGGCAAACCAAAATAGGCATCACTTGACCCAAGTCGAATAGACCCCATTAACCCATTTAATCAAACAGAGCTCATATTTGTGCAACACAGTCTATAGTAATTCCTACATTTGTTTTGAATTTGTATAAGTTTTCTGGAGGAGAACATTTGGAGGAGATACCATTATTGCAAATAAAGAGAAAAAGAGATTGTAAAGGCTTCTCCGCCTTTGAAAGAGTGGCCATTTTCTTCAATGCAGCCTGTACAAGAAGTCTATGTGTGGTGAAAGCTTAGGCATGGACGTAGGCTACAACTGAACCAAATAAAAAACATTACTTATTCATATGTTCATTTGTGTTTTCACATTTTATTTATAGTTATGCATCACTACTCAAAATTGTTTGGAAGATTTTTAAGATTGTCTAGTCTCAATAACTTCGTTACACAGGAACTGAAAAAAGTAAGCAAGATCATACATTATTTTTCAAAATAAACAATAGTAACAGTTATTTCTGAAGCTAGATATTTAAATTCATATATCGTTGACCACTTGCAGGGTTCTTTAGTATCGTAGGAACAGGAAATTAGCTCGATAAATAATACCGAGGGCAATTTGAGGAAATTAGCACTCAAATGCTACAATCTGAGCAACAGTAGCTCATCTTCAGAAACTGATGATGATGAAAAAGAATTTCTACAAAAGGATGATTAAAAAGAATTTCTACAAAAGCAAAAGTCAAAAAACTAGTTAAAATTTTCAAAATAAATTAAAACTGACCTTGTAGGTGAAAGGAAAGAAATCCCAATGTGTTTCAAATGCAACAAGATCATCCACTTATAGTAAGAATGTCTGTGAATCAAAGTAGAAGGAAAGAAAACCTCACAACAAAAAAGGCGATAAATATCAAGAGAATCATCTAATTAGAGAGAAACATCTAATTAAAGAGGTCACTTAGGCAAACACAAATACCAAAAAAATATCAAGAGAATCATTTATTTAGAGAAGCAAATACATGTCTCATGGCTATTGATATTCCATCAGAAGAGATAAATGAAAGTGTAACTTTTGATGATTTGCATGATACTTGAGATGAATGATATTTCAGTTAATTTGAAAAAGAAATTTCATACCTTAAGAAAAGAGCATGTAAACCTTGATTCACATTACATTGAGCATGAATTATTCCAAAAAAGAAAAAAGAATATCATAAACTGAGGTGTCTTTATGTAATAAATTATCTAGAGAAAATTCTATTTTGAACAGCAAAGCAATCTATTTGCATTGTTTGAAAAAACACAAGTATAAATGCATCTCATATTTTATCTAACACCAAAAAAAGTTGCACATAGACCAAATGCACACATGAATACTAC